TATTACATAGTTTTTATTAAATTATTTTTATTTTTTGTACTGAAAATTTAAATCTATGTGATTTTAGAGACTGCCCAATACTGATTGAATTTTTTACGAATATTCAAGTAATGAATAAATATTTTTTTCTTGTTAGTAAAATATTTTTTTATTTAGTTGATAAGGAGTGCAGGGATGAATAGAGAATTCATATTATGTATTATATTTTAAATTTGAGAGAGATTTTATTTAGTTGTTTTTAAATTTCAGATATAAGTATTTCATTGCATTTTTTAAATAATGCGTGTATTTTTTTAAACAAAATACTATTTATTTTGGATAAAGCAAATTGATTCAGACAATCCGTAAATTAATAAAACAATAAATACAATCTTTATAATAATATAAAGATTTTATTTCATGTTCTTAATACTGCATACTATTAAAATAAACAACAATACCATTGATTAATATTTTAAGATTATTTTCTTAGAGGGAATGTTTATTTGGACTGTTTTTATTACGAAATACATTATATTTCAGTATAATGGAAGATAATTATTTTATTTTAATTATTCTTCTTAATAGCACTTATGCTATGAACGTCTTTGTTCCATTGTATGTTATGGTAACTGTAACCCAAGACACATTATTATTTAATTAGTTCCAATGTAAGTTATCGTACGTGTAACATACCCTACTTAATCCTACATATATATCAACGTAAAGTATAGTAAGTACTACATACAACGAAATACCATTGATATTTTCCGTAGTAGAAAACCGTATGTGACTTTTAAGAAATTCTAGCAAAAAATTCAAAAAACCTTTTTAGACGTAATATTCCGTTCCTAAAAATATATCTGTATGCCAATTTTGATTCTTAAATGAGCTGATTTGACTTCACTATCATCAAAAATCTGCTTGCATAACTTTGAACTGCGATACTGTATAGTTGATAAAATAGAGTTACGATATTATACGTAGGAGGTGTCGATGTACTTTTGAAGTTTGAAGTAACAGGATTCGTAGATGTGAAAGTTATAATATAGTTATCCCCCTGTTTGTAATTCCAACGAACAATGAGTTATTACGATAGAAAAAAAAAATATTTCATTGCATGGCTATTTAAATAAAATTAAACAGTAGGTGTGTTCTATAATTTGCTTGCGTTTAATTGGGTATCAGATAATACTCATTGTAATTAAAATGTGTGCTTAATTATTTGATATTTGTGACACTTTGTTTGTTAAAGATGTTCAGTTACAGAAACGAATAAGCAGACAGATTTGAGTTATTTTTTCTTTATCTATTCGCTGGTAGCCTAAGGGGCTATTCTAGTTACTCACAGATGAGTAGTTGGGCTCACGGGCTCAACCTGAGAGAATTTGCTAGCACTATCAAATCAAATCAAATCAAATCAAAAAAAAAATATTCAACATAAATGAAAGTACATAACGTTGAACGTCAAAAAGAACTACCGCCAATTTACAATAGCTAGCCTCCGTTCTGAGAAGAACTGGCAAGAAACTCAGCGGGCATGTATTTTTTTTTTTTAATATTAGGTTTTTTTTTAAATATTCATTTTTACAATGAGTATTACAACGTAACAATTATTGTAATAGTGAAATGCCCGGAGCGAGCTACCCATTCCCACTTTGTGCAATCTTCTATCCCTAACAAGAGCTTCGCAGAATCTACTACCAGATCGGAATCGCAATACACTGAGAAGATCCGGCGAGAAGCTCAGTGGGTTCTGTCTCTGGGTTAGTTCGCAAGTCGAACTCTTCGTCGTAGTCGACGGGTTCGACGAGGACGGTGACCCGTGCTTGACCGTGAGTCGATCCGGGGTATCCGACATGACAAATCTCGGGCGACGACGGTTGGGTCGGGTATTATCTGACTATAACGATCACTACATTTATTATTATCGTAATCCTTTTTTCGTTATACGCAATTTAGACATTTCTAGCTATTTGAATTCGGAACGTCAAAAGTGTCAACGAGCGACTTCCGCTATGACACTTTTCCCTTTTCAATTCCAGCCGCCAAGGGCGACACATCGACTTTATATTTCATATATCTTTAGTTTGTCACTTATGAACTAATAAAGATTTCAAACTAATAAATACAGTCCACTCTCATTCACCACAACGCAACACTAGCACAATCCAATTTAATACGAAATAGAACTCAATGCTTAGGAATTTCAAACATCCTATTCATAAATATATCAACTTGAATATTCTTGAACGTAAAATAAAACATCTCAATATACCGTTCAAAATAATATTCTTATGAAAACCAGACCAATGAATCCTTTTTTTTTATTTCAAAAAGCATCATGTCAGCAAAGAGTCCAAAGGGTATTTCCTAAAAATATTCCTCAGTTCGATGTCAATCTGTTTGACATTTTGTATTCAGTTTTAATGGCAACCAGTCGACCAATTACCTTGTATATCGCTTCAAAAGCATTCTAAGCTATTGACGGGAGCTATCTGCGGAAACCTCATTAAAACCTCAAAAGTCGAAAGCAAAGAAACCGATCTTTGAATAAAATAAATTGCGACCTGAATTCTTCTTTAGACATCTTATAACAGAGAGAAAAATAAAACGGACATTCTAATTGGTATACTTTTCTGTAGTGGTTTTATATACATACATATGTTTATCGGTTATTTAAATTAAAAACGGCTTCGAAAATGTTTATATAGGGAACCATTAGGTACCTGCCCAAAGGAAATTTGAATATTCGATACTACACACACATTTAATTTATTTGACAAACACGATTTTTAGCAAAACAAATATCTCAAAAAGATTCTCAGGTAAACATTTTTCGTAAATAATAAGCCAAAACGAAAGATAAACAAAACTTCTCATTATTATTCGATATGTGTGTTCAATTTATTTATGGATTGCACCTATCATGACTTTCCCTCCATCACCTTCAGTTCATTGGTAGAGAATATTTTAGGTTTTTTTTTTATTGCCTAGATGTGTGGACGAGCTCACAGCCCACCTGATGTTAAGTGGTTACTGGAACCCATAGACATCTACAACGTAAATGCGCCACACACCTTGAGATATAAGTTCTAAGGTCTCAGTATAGTTACAACGGCTGCCCCACCCTTCAAACCGAAACGCATTACTGATTCACGGCAGAAATAGGCGGGGCGGTGGTACCTACCCGTGCGGACTCACAAGAGGTCCTACCACCAGTAACTACGCAAATTATAGTTTTGCGGGTTTGATTTTTATTACACGATGTTATTCCTTCACCGTGAAAGTCAATCGTGAACAATTGTTAAGTACGTATTTCATTAGAAAAATTGGTACCCGCCTGCGGGATTCGAACACCGTTGCATCGCTATATACGAATGCACCGGACGTCTTATCCTTCAGGCCACGACGACTTAAGACCACTATTTCTACAAACAAATAATGTAATAAAACTCTTTAAAAAATTTTTTGGTTAAACAATAATGTTCATCTCATTAATTAGATTTACGTGCTAGTTTTTTTAAACGTTATGTCCGAACCCACAATGTTTAATAATTTAAAAAACCAAATGTTTTATTGTTAAACCACAAGGATCATTGAGTTTAAATTAAATAAATAACGCGTAGTCCTTTCGCTATAGGGCTTAGTCATTCTTCATACGCATTAACAATAAACCGCGTACGAAACCAGAACCGAGAATGTATCATCCGTAAGCACTTGTGGAATACTAAGTAGCCGATTTAAAACCACTGATAGATGTCGTTATCCTGTGAGCTAAGGCCAAAGGCCGAAAGTGAAACCTTTGTTCTTCAGTGGCATATATTATAGATGATGGTCCAATCAAAAATACATAAAACTCGAGGAATTGCAGATTTGAAAGGATTTTCGTAAATTCGATCTTTTGTGATGGTGGCTATAAAATACGTTTGTGGTGGTCAGCTTAAAATCAATGTAAGTTTTATATTTTTTACAAGCGAGATTATCGCAAAATATGGTAATTTAAAGGACAGAACGCCAATTTGACACTAAAGAACTTTGGATTTAATCTAGTTTGGAATTAATCTCTGAATAATATACTGAATCGTCATTAACGGCCGTCTGGTTTAGTGGTAAGTGACATGGTCACTAGACAAGGGGGTTGCGGGTTCGAATCCCGCCAAGGGAAGATATTTGTATGATAAATATAAATGTCTTTTCCAGGGTTATGGATGTAAATTAAATATATGTATGTGTATAATAAAAATCTTACATTTATTTCCGTTATCTGGTACCTGTAACACAAATTCTTTACGAACTTATCACGGGACCAGTTAACGTGGCGTGATTGTTTTACAAAAAAAAAAAAAAGAAAAGTTATTAATAATAACAATAAAACTTTTGAATTCTTTTTTAAATTATTATATCTACCGGTATATGTATCTCAATTCGTCACTAGATGAAAGATACGTTTGTTTGGATTGTAATCGATCTTAAAAAAATATTTTTAGAATAGTCCATTCGAAATTAAAGAATTAAATATTCAACAAAATGAAATCGATAAAGCTTTTTTAAGTATCACCTCCTTTCAGAAAACTTGGGCCAATTAATTTAGAATAAAATTCTAGTATTAACACTTTCACTGGCCGGTTAACACTTAACATAAATAAAAGTTTTCGAACCAAAACGATTAATCGAAATACACTTTGATACAGTAATAAAAATGCTAATGCTTTAAGGGTCCAATGATTCATTTATTTATTAGAAACACAAAAAAAAAAAAAAAACAAAAAAAACAAAAAACAAAAAAGCGCATAAGATTAATTCGGTATGTCTCATTGGTTATTTACTTGAATACGCGTGTAGGTTTATTAGTAGTAGAACAAAAAATATATATATAAATATATATTTTTGAACACGCATTTCGCAGGATTCGTATCGTTTGTCTTGGATGTGTACATTACATGTGAATTTTAACAAAGGAATTCCGTTTGTTTGCTTACAATTATATATATCGCGTGTATCAAGTTGTCAGTACTCACGGTTTCGTTTCGCCCGTGCAGCTCCGCGTCTGCGATTGTGCTTCTGAAGACGGTGCACCGCGGTTTTATGCGCACGGGCACAGACCGGCAAACGATGCATAAACAGGGTGCGTAAAATGTGTTTAGAATTGTTTATATTATTTCCGGTCTTCTTCTTTTTTTTATTGCTTAGATCTATGGACGAGCTCACGGTCCAGATGGTGTTAAATGGTTATCGGAGCCCATGGACATCTACAACGTAAATACCGCCAGCCATCTTGAGACATGAGTTGTAAGGTCGCACTTTTAACAGTACAACGGCTGCCCCGCCCTTCTAGCTGAAAAGCATTAGGGCTTCACGGCAGAAATCGGCAAGGTAGTGGTACCTAGTAATTACACCACCACCACTAATAATTACACAAATTGTAATGTTTGCGTGTTTGATTTTTATTACACGATATCCTTCACCATGGAGTCAATCGTGAATATTTTGATAAGTACTTACTTCATTGGAAAAATTAATACCCGCCGGCGGGATTCAAACACCGGTGCATCGCCATACGAATGCACTGGACGTCTTATCCTTTCGTCCACGATAACTCATGTTCTTAAAATAACCCGTTAAAAATCGAAATTCCTTTCTTTTCAATTCTCGGTATTGTCCGGAAATCACAACCAACGCCGGGATGAATGAAACGAAAAATCTGATTTATTATTATTTAGACAAGTAATTTGGCAACCGCGTGGCAAGAGAAGACCTAGTCGCCCTGTACAGATTTAGCGACGTACCGTAGGAATGAGGTGAGGACTGCCGGCCTGACCTGGAGCGATTTTAAGGAGCAAGCGCAAGACAGGGTGAAGTGGAGACTACTTGTAAGAGCCTTATGTACCAGGGGGATACCCTAACACAAACAATATTATTATAGTTTGTTTATTATTATTATATCATTTAAAGAATAGTGTCAACATTAATAATAAAATTGTTAGAAGTCAACAGTTTTTTATGTATGATATCTATTTGCTATTAGAACTTTTGAAATTGTTGTCTTATAAAAATCGTTAATGTCTCTTTATTAGTATATACCTAGAACACATATATTCCGAGTAATTTTTACTACATTTACTGAACTTAAGATAAATGCTATTTGATTCAGAATAAATGCTTAAGAAATTTGCCAGTTTTCAAAATATGTACATAATATGAGTCATTGTCTTCCGCTGTACAAAAACAAAAGTATATTAAAATGTATATTGTATGTATAATGTATATTGTAATATGAATTTTTTAAAAAACAACATGCTGTATCTCAGTTGGTAAAGCAAGCAAAAGACGACACTCCCCAAAAGTGCAATGTATCAAACAATAAGAGCAATATTGGGTGCTTGGGGTCGAGCAACGGTCCCCAAACCAGTATGCGGGGAAAGGCTTTAAAAACATTTACCTCGCTGGTTTTAATTTATGCCAATGATAATATTTCCCGTTTTAAGAACCTCGTCTCCCGAATTTAACTTGTACTTGATTAAGTCAGTTTGGTGACGAGATAAACTCACGATTTAATTAGTTTCTTCTTGGCAAATTTGGCTGTTTGGAATAAACAAAAAATATTTGCCTTAGTTGACATAGGATAAAAGAAATCAGTAAGGCCAATAGCCATAGCTAATTCGCTGCCAACAATTAGCGTATTTTATCAGATTACTGTTTTTTTCTTTAACTAATTAATAAACTTGTTTGTTGGGTTCCAAAGGTATCCATTAAAATCCATACTGTGTGCTTAGTGCGAGTTTTTTAACGTTCTCGATAGCGTCAAAGTTAGCTCATATTTGTATGGAGTGGGATCGTTTGCCTACGTTTGTCGCTAGGGGCGCTGTTCCAACTGCATACAAAATTGGGCTAACTTTTACGTTATCGAGAACGTTAAAAAACTCGCACTAAGCACACTGATCTATGCTAATATTATAAAGAGGAAAGATTTGTTTGTTTGTTTGTTTCGAATAGGCTCCGAAACTACTGGACCGATTTGAAAAATTCTTTTTCCATTAGAAGCCGACATTGTCCCTGATGAACATAGGCTACTTTTTTAAATATTTTTTTTATTTTTATTTTTTGATTTCATGTGTGTTTTAATGTTTCCGAAGCGAAGCGAGGGCGGGTCGCTAGTATATTCTAAAGTAATAAATAAAATAAATAAAAATAAAAAAGCCTATATTTCCTTATCCTTAACTTTCATTTCAAATGTGGTATTTATTTGTTAATGTTTAGTTAGTTATTAATGCTTATTGTCTAAATGTTAGTAAGAGATAGTTTTTGTTATTGGATATGGACCCCTCCTCGGGTGAAGGCCTCCTCCACTTCTTTCCACTGATCTCTGTTCTTGCCGATAGTTGCCAGTCCTTTCATATTATTTCGTTTACGTCGTCAGCCCATCTTCTTTTCGGTCTCCCTATCCTTCTTTTGCCAATTGACCCTTTCCAGATTGTAGTGTTGACTGTCCACCTGGTGTCTGTGTATTTCAATACGTGACCTGCCCACTGCCATTTCAATTTTAAAGCTTGTGTGAGGGCATCTGTTATCTTTGTTTTTTGTCTAATTACTTTGCTCCTGACTTTTTGAATTTTTGATTTCGTTTTTAACCTTTTCGTCTGGTGACTTCCAAGTCCATCTTCTGCTGGATCTTTTTTTGAAATAAGTGTTGATTATTGCTAGTCTATATTCCATTGCATATTCTTGTAGTCTTTCGCCTCTTTCATCTCTTTGGCCTAGCCCGTACTGTCCCATGACGAGTTTTTCTTCTTTTTTGGGTTGCCCTATTTTTGCATTGAAGTCTCCTAATATTGTAATTTTCTCATTGTATAGTGTGTGAGCTTTTTTCCAAATCATTGTAGATTTTTTGTATTTCTGTATCGTCTGATTTTTCCGTGGGTGCGTATGCCTGAATTATAGAAATGTCTAGTCCGCCAAAATTCATTTGAAGTAACGCTACTCGCTCCGAAATGCCAGTAAAGTTAGTTATATTATTTTTCCATGCCTTTTTTATTAGAAATCCGACTCCATACGATCCCTTTGTTTCTCCTATATAGCAGAAAACATAGTCTGAATACTCTTTTATGTGGCAGGTTCGTAAGTGGCAGCCCATTTTTGTAGTTTCTGAGTCCTAGTATGTCGCATTTTATATCTTTCAATGCATTATTGAGTTCTAAGTGTCGGTGAATTGATGACGGAGACCTGACATTATAGGTTCCTATTTTTATACAATTCTTAGTCTTTGTTCAGTTTAGTGGTTTTTTGTTTTTGTGGTTTTCCTGGAGGGTTGTGGTCGTACTCTTCCACGGGGACCAGCCGGCTTGGAAGATGATTCTAAAGTAATAATCTACAAAAATATATTTCATTTGCTTTATGCTATATGTACAGGAAAAAAATACTAAAGCAAACGTATCTAAATTTGAACTTATTTAAAACAACAACCAATAAACAAATCAAACATAACCTTATAACAAAGACCTCATGGACATAAGTGCGAAATACCAGAGCAAAATTTTAATTTCGAAATTATAATATCTAGTTAATAACCCGTATGTAGAAAACCCGTAACACAAACTGTCAACATTGCTACGTTCGAAACAAAATCTCTTAATGTGCCATCTAGATAAGAGGCTATATATTTAATTTTTAATTCTATAATATACTTAATATTTTATATTTAATTCTATATATTTAATTCTGTTAATTTAAATAGCAATAATAGAAATTATTGTCAACACCCTCAATTCGAATGTACTGGTGTAAATTTTTTACAGCTAATTTCTTCAAATGCTTTGTCACTAATCGTTTTTAAAACAAGGACATTTTATATTGAATACTTCCTAACCAGCCGTAATCGCCACAATGAAAAGCCTTCGTGTAGAATCAATGCACAGAAATATCCGATTCTATATAAAATGTAATTCCACAGTGGAGAAGGAGTGATAGTTGCAAGGGGTAAACTTCAAAATTTTTGGTAGCAGTATCTGTCGCGATACAATCAGATGTAAAGTTTGAAAGAAAGAAAAAGAAAGCCACTATTACTAGAATTATACTATGAATACCTCGAAACTTTTCTATCAGTTCCTCAAAGGCGTCCTTCTTATCGGGAAGTGGGCGTCTATGGATTCTGTCAGACATAGAACTCATCTCCTAGTAAAAATATTTTGAAAAAAACTACAAAAACTGAGTAAAATTCAATGTCAAACTGTAAATTCCGAAAAATTCAGTTGTATCACAATTTTACATAGGCTATTTTGACTCATGTGTTATTTTTCTTTTACCGGCTATCATCTTCCGCAAGAAAATAATTCTTTGTAAAACAATTAGTCTCATGACCTGGTTGATACTCGGAGACATTCTAATAAATCCATTTATAACATTTCCCTCTTTCGAGATCATTAACCATCTGATTGGACCGTAAAACTGAGATGTGAAATACTATAATTACTTCTGTGAGTTATTTTATCGTAATGAATTTCATCTGAATATATCGTGTCCACTACTCCAAGCTGCCAAGTTATAGAATTTAATAAAAGCTTAGTAAAATTATCATTAGAATTTTTTTGTTTAGTGTGAAATCACTACAAAGTATAAAACAAAGTCGCTTTCTCGGTCCCTATATCCCCTATGTATGCTTAAATCTTTAAGACTACCCAACAGATTTTGATGCGGTTTTGTCTAATAGATAGAGTGATTGAAGAGGAAGGTTTATATATATAATAACATCCATTAAATAATAGCGAAATTAATAATAAATTACAGTTTCCGAAGCGAAGTGAGGGCGGGTCGCTAGTATTAAATATGATGAAAAAAATTCAGGAATAGCGATTGATATATCAATTGATTATGAAACTATGTACTAGGACGTTAAGATTTAAATTCATATAACTTCATAATTAACTTAGATATCCCGTAGACACAGACCACAGGTTTCTAGCAGGATCTTCTCAATGGGTCACAATTCCGATTCAGTGGTAGATTCTGCGACATAGTGTTTCAGGTTAAGCCCGTGAGCTCATCTACCAGTCCGTGAGTAGTCAGTGAA